GTGTTCAACCCTGGATGGCTCAACTATTGTGTACAACCCTGGCGGCCTGGCAGCTGTCCCAGGTTGTTGTTTACTTCTAGTCAGCTTGTTGCCGCGCAATTATGATATCGTCTTATTGTTAACAAAATAAAGTATTTCGATTTATTTGTATGTTCAGTGCCCAGAATTAAACCGAGTTATTAGTAAAACAGTGTTTTCATTCGCTGGTGATATATCAAGCAAACACATAGCAGTAGTAGCTATAATTGGTGACCCCCGACGTGATATATCTCCGCGTACCACTCGGCCTCTAACCTAAAAGACGTGTCTGACTACTAAAAAAATCAAGATGCAAAGCAATTTCGACTCCTCAGTAGATCCTGATCAGCAATTGGCTGCAAACAGCTCTTTTACCAACCAGCAACCAGACAGGAGTTCGTCAGTGAGTATTCCTATGCCTCAACCTTCTGGCCCTCACGGCAGTACAGCATTTGATCCCGCGGTGCATTTTAATCCAACAAATCACCCGGTGAGCTATCAGCAAGCATATGCCCAACCAGTAGTAAATTCGTTGCCAGCCCCCATGATGCTAAACCAGCAGCAGAGTTATGCCATTGACGCAGTTTACAACTGCAATCTGCCACCCTTTTGTCGTTCTCATCCTGACCTATGGTTCCTGCAGATTGAATCAGTCTTTCAAGCCCACCGTATACAGTCCGATAGCACCAAGTACTATCAATTGGTAAAATCACTGGACCCGGACACAATCACGGAAGTTACAGACATCTTGAAGGCTCCACCACCTCAAGATAAGTACCAAAATCTCAAGTCTAACCTAATAAGTAGACTAACAGCCTCCGAAGACTCTCAGATGCACAAACTGCTCACTGATCTAGAACTAGGTGACCGAAAACCCTCACAGTTGCTTCGTGAAATGCGAGCCCTTGCCGGCAATCGTGCTACAGAAGACGTGCTCCGCATACGATGGCTGGCCCTTCTGCCTGTCAGCATTCAGCACTTGCTGAAAATTTTCAAGGCCAATTCACTTAACGAACTAGCTGCTGCAGCTGATGAGCTCATGACAAACATCCCTGGTGGTAGTGTTCATGGCCGTCAACCAGAGCTCTCGCCAGCATGGACATGGTTCTTCAGTAGCCTCCGAGCTGAACGAACTCAGACAAGCCATCACAGAACTAACCATTGCTCAGAAGGACCTCACTTCTGCCATCAGACAGAGTCTCACCTCTACCAGTCGACAACCACGTGAGCGTTCTGTCACTTCTGGAGAATGCCGATATCATCGAAAATTCGGTGCCCGGGCCCCAAAAATGTGTCTCAGCTGCCACTAGCATCTCCGCGCCAGGAAAACTAAATATGCTGTCGCCTGTTCAGGTGGTAAGCGACAGCAATGTCAACAGCACCTGCCTCCCATCTAAAGAAAGTCGCCTGCACGTCATAGACAAGGTCACTGGCATGAAGTTCCTTATCGACAGTGGTTCCGTTGTATCCTTGATTCCAAGAAGCTTCTTTCAACGAAAACTTCTGCCTGCTGACCTCATGCTATATGCAGCCAATGCAACAGTTATCAAAACGTATGGTCAACACTTTCTTAACCTCAATTTTGGACTCCGCAGATCCTTCAAGTGGGCATTTATCATTGCAGACGTCAAATCAGCAATCATAGGTGCCGACCTGCTTTCACATCATGGCCCTCCTTCCTGTTTTAAAGCACAAGCGCCTTCTGGACTCTCTCACCTCACTGTCTTCTCCTGCTGAAATGCATGAAACCGAACTTCATACTGTTTCCACTGTGAATAATGCAGAATATGCACCTCCTACACTCAGTCAACCCTATAGCAAGTTGCTGGAAGAGTTTATTGACATCACCCGTCCAAGGTCAGCCCCATCAGTGGACGCCCCCTACAGGAACTCATCACCACATAGTCACCACTGGACCGCCAGTCAATGACCGTCCACGTCGGCTAAACTCAGAGAAACTAAAGATTGCTAAAGAGGATTTCGACCTCCTGTTGCATCATGCTGTTATCCGTCCCTCCAGCAGTCTATGGGCCAGTCCCTCTACACATGGTCCCAGAAAAAAGCAAGGTGGATGGCGTTCCACAGGTGATTTTAGGAGGCTCAATTCCCAGACTGTGCCAGATCGGTACCCCATACCACTACCAGAAGACATCTTTCAGCGGCTGCATGGGAAAAGTGTCTTCACTGTCATTGACCTGGTTCGAACTTACCACCAAATTCCTGTAGCACCAGAGGACATACCCAAAACAGCGATAACTACTCCTTTTGGGCTTTTTGAGTTTCTGGGTATGCCTCCAGGCCTGCGCAATGCCACTCAGACATTTCAACGTCATATGGACAACCTTCTCCGTGGTATTGACTTCGCAGCATGCTACATTGATGACTTGATAGTGTTCTCGGATTCCCATGAGGAACATCTGCAACATCTACGCAAAAATCTTTAATGTACTGCGTGAGAACAAACTCACTATCAACCTCAGCAAGTGCCAAATCAACAAGTCAGAAGTTATGTACCTCGGCTACTCCATCAACAAGCTCGGATACAAACCACCTGATTCCAAGATCCAAGCCATCGCTTCTTACCCCAAGCCAGAGGACCATCTCTGAATTTCGTAAGTTTTTGGGAATGCTCAATTATTACCGTCGCTGTATTCCAAAGGTCGCTGAACTTCAAGCCCTCTCAATGCATTTATGAAGGGTGCCAAGAAAAAAAGACAAACGGCCCATCCTTGGACACCCAGCTCAGAGAAGGCCTACCAAGACTGTGTAGAAAGCATTGTCAAAGCGACTTGTACCAGCTTCATCTCACCCTCTGCAAGTCTCGCACTCGTCACTGATGCCTCGGACTTCGCCATTGGAGCTGCACTTGAACAGCTGATCGACGACTGCTGGAAGCCCATAGGTTTTTTTTCCCGCAAGTTGAGTCCCACCGAAACGCGATACAGCACCTACGATCGCGAGCTGCTAGCGATTTTCGCTGCAATAAAGTTCTTTCGTCACCAGCTGGAAGGACGCCAGTTCATCATCAAAACTGATCATCGCCCACTGGTATACGCCTTTGCTCAGCGCGCTGAAAAAGCATCCCCCAGACAGCTCCATCAACTGGACTTTATTTCACAATTCAGCACAGAAATCGTCTATGTCAAGGGAGAACACAACGCCGTTGCTGACGCCCTGTCTCGTATTAACGCTATCTCCATGCCAACGTCACTGTCTCCTAAAGCCATCGAAGCCGCACAGCTTGAAGACCAAGATACGCCACAAGAATCATCGCTCAATCTGCAACAGCTTGTTATTGAAAACGCCAACGTCCTCTGTGATATCTCTTCAGATCGCATCAGACCCTACATTCCGACAAGTCTCCGACGCAAAGCTTTTGATGTTGTGCATGGTTTGGCACACCCCAGCGGCCGAGTCACTGCTCGAAGCCTCAAAGAAAAATTTGTTTGGCCTGGAATCAAGAAGGACGCCCTCCAGTGGTCCCGCCAATGCATTCAGTGTCAAAAATCCAAAATTCAACGACACAATCGTCTCGCACCACAGCACATCACCGTACCTGACAACAGATTCGAGCATATTCACCTAGACCTCATCATTTTACCACCAGTCAACAAATTTCGTTACTGCTTAACCATAATCGATCGATTTTCTAGATGGCCTGTTGCAGTACCCCTCCAGAACATGGAAGCTGACACCGTCTCGTCTGCTCTCTATGTCAATTGGATTTGCAACTACGGAACGCCACTATCCATCACAACTGACCAGGGCACGCAATTTGAATCTTCACTATTTTCGGCTCTTGCACGCCTTGTAGGAGCGCGGGTAATCCACACCACGCCCTATCACCCGCAGTCCAATGGCATCGTAGAGCGCTTCCATAGGACTTTGAAGGCAGCCCTTATGTGTCAAGCACCCACGCCCTGGACGGAAGTGCTTCCGACCGTTCTTCTGGGTCTGCGTACGTGCCTGAAAGAAGACCTGAATGCCTCACCAGCGGAGCTCCTTTATGGGACACCCCTGCGTATACCTGGTGAATTCTTCACCTCTGAGTCACCTCCAGCTGATCCCCAAGTCTTCCTCGAAAAATACCGGGACCACATCAGGAAAGTCCGCCCAACACCTACGGCTCACCATATCAAATCTCGCTGCTTCATCCTCAAGGACCTCGCAACTTGCAGTCATGTCTTCCGCCGAGTGGACTCTGTTCGTCGCCCGCTCGAACCGCCCTACACTGGCCCGCATGAAGTCGTCAAGAGAATAAATGACCGAGTGTACAGCATTCGAATCAATGGCGTTGAGAAGACTGTCTCTGTGGACGCCCTGAAGCCAGCCTACACCCTTAAACCCGATACCGTTTCATCCACCCTGGAGAATCACCCAGCGTCATCCTTCACCATGGACCGCCCTCTTCGCACTTACTCAAAAAAGAAGGTTTCGTTCCTCCCACAAGTGGCTTCGTCACTGGGAGGGGAGTAGATGTGGCGTCATTGTTCCGCGAGTCCGTTGTGTTCAACCCTGGATGGCTCAACTATTGTGTACAACCCTGGCGGCCTGACGTGACGTGACAGAAGACAGCTGTCCCAGGTTGTTGTTTACTTCTAGTCAGCTGGTTGCCGCGCAATTATGATATCGTGTTGTTGTTGTTAACAAAATAAAGTATTTCGATTTATTTGTATGTTCAGTGCCCAGAATTAAACCGAGTTATTAGTAAAACAGTGTTTTCATTCGCTGGTGATATATCAAGCAAACACATAGCAGTAGTAGCTATAATATTTTGTTTACTAGCTCCACCTATATTTTACAATGCAAACTACTGAATTTTAATTTGATGTACCACGTATTGCGGCTAGATGGCGCCTAGGTAGTCTAATCAAAGGTCTAATCTGACAGCTTCCTAACCTCACTTTCACCTTGAGTGAAAATTTGTTTACTAATTTGATTTCATAAACAATAATAGAAAGTGCCCCTTGAATACAACAAAAATGGGTAGGAGAGCGATAAACACCACCAAAAGTGGTAAGTACATGAACCCCACCGACCAGGCGCGAAAGGAGGCCCGTAAACAAGAACTGAAAAAAAACAAAAAGCAACGGCAAATGGTCCGGGCCGCGGTCCTGAAAAAAAAAGACCCTCAACAAATCCTCGAAGAGATGGAAACCATCGACCAAATGGAATTCAACGTAAACCAACCCTCACCCTTGAACGAAAAAGTCCTGAAAGACAAACGAAAAAAGCTGAAAGACACGCTGGACAGGGTCATGGGCATGTACCACAAAGACGACCCGGAAAAATGGGGCACCCTGCGCAAAGTCCAAGTGGAGTACGAAGCGAAAAAGGCCCAGCTGGTGCAGTTTTACGAGTCGGTCAAAAGCGCTCAGAGCGTGACAATCGACGAAATTCCTCTGCCCCAATTGCCCCAACAGAGCGCCAACAGTATACCCATGCCCGTTGCAGAGCGGAAGCCCGAAGTTGCCATTTACTCCATCGCCACTGCTTTGAAGCTGCAAGCCTTGGGACAACCCATGAGAGAACCTCCTGGCTGTCCGCCAGGCCCGCCTCCAGATATAGACGACGATGGCGAAATAATTGAACACGTCGTAGAAGAAGAAGAACGTCTTGTAGAAGAAGTTAGTGCAGAAGAAGATCCTAGTTCTAAGCCCACTTCCTTGCAACAAAAAATGGTGGCTCTTTCAGGTCAAAATGTAGACGAATTCATCAAGGAAATGGAAACGGTGCAGAAAAAAACCAAGGATCAGGAGCCTGCGAGACCGCATCAAGTGGAGCCTCTTATGCCGCCCGGCACAAACGATACTGTGCCCAATTTGCCACCCATGATGCCCCCAGTCATGTTCGCCACTGGAGCAGGAATCAGGCTGCCGCCCGGTAAGGATCCAATAATAGGCAATTTTTCGCGAGGATAACCAAACATAATCTTTTGCTGGCCGAAAGATACCTTTTCTACATTTAAAATCGACGAAAAAAATCACTGAATCTCCAGCATTTCATCGAGGTCTGCGAGTGACGTCATCACTAGAAGCTGGTCCGGAATTCCTAACCCACAATTCGATAGTCGTCTATCGTCAGGTACATACTTTTACACGACTTGACGATACTATCGCATCGTGGGTTCGGAATTTCGAATTTGGGCCCTGCTGATAGTGATGACGTCACCCGCAGACCGCGATAAAATGCTGGCGATTCAGGCTGTGGGAATGAATTTTTTCATCGATTTTAAGGCCCAGTTGTACAATCTTGATTCAAAACACAGTTCAGCTGAACTCGACTGGTACTTGAACGTCCCCATTTGAAATGCATTGCTGTCAAAATTGACGGAATTTGATTAATAGCTGACAGGAATTTATTTTAAATGGAAAAGCTCAAGTACCAGTTGAGTTTAGTTGAACTTTCGATATATTTAAATTTAAAAAGTCTGAATCATCGCCAGCATTTCATCGAGGTCTGCGGGTGACGTCATCACTAGAAGCTGGACCGGGATTCCGAACCCACGATTCGATAGTATCGTTTATCGTCAGGTGCACACTTTTGCACGGCTTGACGATGCTTGAGTTCGAAATTCGGGTCCTGCTGATAGTGGTGACGTCATCCGCAGACCTTGATGAAATGCTGGCTATTCAGGCTGTGTGAGTGAGTTTTTTCATCAATTTTAAGGCCCAGTTGTACAATCTTGATTCAAAACAGAGTTCAGCTGAACTCGACTGGTACTTGAACTCTCCTATTTTAAATGGGAAAGCTCAAGTACCAGTTGAGTTGAGTTGAACTTTGTTTTGAAGATTGTACAACCGGGCCTAAATGTAGAAAAGGTGATTTTCGGTCTGTGTCGATATATTTAAATTTAAAAAGTCTGAATCGCCAGCATTTAATCGAGGTATGCGGGTGACGTAATCACTAGAAGCTGGACCGGGATGCCGAACCCACGACTCGATAGTATCGTTTATCGTCAGGTGCATACTTTTGCACGGCTTGACGATGCTATCGCATCGTGAGTTCGAAATTCGGGTCCTGCTGATAGTGATGACGTCACCCGCAGACCTTGATGAAATGCTGGCGATTCAGGCTGTGCGAGTGAGTTTTTTCATCGATTTTAAGGCACAGTTGTACAATCTTGATTCAAAACAGAGTTCACCTGAACCCGACTGGTACTTGAACTCTCCTATTTGAAATGCATTGCTGTCAAAATTGATAGCATTTGATTAATAGCTGACAGCAATGTATTTTAAATGGGAAAGCTCAAGTTTAGTCGATCTTTGTTTTGAACCGAGATTTTATCGAGGTCTGCGGGTGACGTCATCACTAGAAGCTGGACCGGGATTCCGAACCCACGATTCGATAGTATTGTCTATCGTCAGGTGCATACTTTTGCACGGCTTGTGGGTTCGAAATTTAGGCCCTGTTAATAGTGACGTCACTCGCAGACCCAAAATTTGATGGAAAGAAGGATGGAGACATAACCCAGCAAAATCAGATTATGCTTGATTATCCTTGCGAAAAATTGCCCAATATGCTGGAATATGTTTCGAATAGCGATTTTTTGCAGGCCCCCCGCCTGGTAGACCACTGCTACCGCCAGGCCCGCCGCCTGGTATGCCTACTTTGAGACTACCAGGACCTGGATCCACGCCGCGTCTGATCCGGATTCCCGCTCCGCCTTTGCTTGGGACGTTGCAGGGACTTTCTCAGCACAAGCCCAACGTCCTGTCCGCCGCCCCTCAATTGATCAACAGGTAATTAATTAATTATTTTGTGTCTGATAAATAATATAATATGTTTTGTTTCAAGGAACGACTCTAAACAAGGTGCCACTATATCAGCGAAGCCCCAAATACGTAATTTGAGCGCGGACGTTACCAGGTTCGTACCCTCCGCTTTGAGAGTGAAGCGGGAAGAAAAGAAAAACGGCGGTAAATCGGTTACCAGTCTAGTGAGAGAGTTGAAGCAAAAAGAGATGAATTTGAATAGTCAATTGCAAGGTGGCACACGCACCAAAGACGACGCTTATAAAAGGTTTATGGCCGAAATGGAAGGGCTCATGTAGAGGGTGTAATGTTATTGTGTATTAAATATTAATAAGTACATATTGTGTGTTCTGGTTACTCCCATAAAAATATTAAATCACATTTTGGAACACTCAGAGCCATCTAGCTGCTAAGTTGTATCAATTTGAAGAGGATATAGGTAGAAAAATGAAACAAAAAATAGTAATTTTATCGTAATATATCACTCAATTTTCTCAGATTCGGCTTCAAGTTTCCTGGAGAGCCGACTGGCTCTGTTGTAGACGGGATTCTGAAAGTGACTGGTGCCCGGTTTGTACAAGGGATTACCATCGGTCGCCCATTTTGTCTGGTTACGTTCGTCCATGAAACGAGCATACTCCTTTTTATCGTGCACCGTCGTCACTAGTTTCCATATAATCAGAGTGACGATGCCTACTAGAAGAACCGAACCAATCACGCCCAGAATTATGGCTAAAAGTGGCGGCGGTTCCGGGCAAATCTTCTGCTTTTCAGCACTGACCGTCAGTTTTTCGTCTTTGTCGTAACTATACTCAAACACCATGGTGCAGTCTTTTTCCACCACAACCCTACAACGCTTGCCTCCCCTATTTTCCAACTTTTCCACTATTTCAGTGCGGAACAGAGTACAATTTTCCAGGCAACTACTCGAATTGGCATAAATTCCCGTTCCGTACGCTTGACACTCGACGCAAGGTTTGAACTCGTCGCACCTAAAACATAAATTCTCAGCTGCGGAAAGAAGTTTCAACTCGACGAACCTTTGCGGCGGACAACTGGTACATTCTTCGCAGAATTTTCCAGAATATCGTTCTTTGCCGTCCTTGTCGCACTCGCACTTGCCGCACCGGCAACGTCCTCGGCCCGAGCACAACTTACCAGAGTCAGGCATCACGCATCGAGTTTCGTCCAGCGAACAGCCGCAATCGTCTCCTGACCAATCTAAGAAAGCAATCCGATAAATCGATATTCCTTACTGTGATCGATTAGTGATTACCTTTTCCGCAATTGACGCATTTGCCGCACTCGCACGTGCCTCGTCCCGAGCACTTGAGCGGACAACTCAAATTGTCGCACTCGCAATATTTGCCGGTGAAACGTTCGGAGTTGTTCGGACCCAGTTTGCACTCGCACTTGCCGCATTTGCACTTGCCCTGGCCCGAACACTCTTCGTTTTTGGCACCGTGCGGTTTGACGCAAAGACTCGGATCTTCGCCTTTGCTCTCGTTGCGATCGCACTGGCAGCGATCGCCCAAGCGGCCCTCGCGGCACCGACAAGTGCCGCACTCTAGATCGCCCTCGGAGTTGCACTCTTCGGCTAGCGGTAGCTTGTCGGCGGCACAGGAACACTCGCACGACACTTCCAGCTCGATTACGAGACTGTCTTCCAGGCCTTCGGGCTTTATTCTGATTGTTCTCTTGTTGGATTCGGCTGAAAGTACAATGCCAAATGTGCAGATCTAATACGGTCCACCTGAACCCTTACCGTTCTTGTGACACACCAATGGTTCTATTGTGGCTTTGAAGTCGATAGTTTGGCCCAATTCGACGTTGTAACATCTACCATCCAAATAGTTGGGACAACTCGAAGTTATGTTAACGTTCACATCTTTTTGAGCGTCCGAGGTTATTTTAACCGAATCTCTTATTTGCTAAAAATGGTTCATCTCAGTGGCGTAGATAGCTAGGGGATTGATCCCCTCATCTCTATCTACGCCACTGTCTTTAACTTTTCTTGATTGGTGGATACTTACGTCGTAAATATCCGAAATAAGATTAACGACATTGTCCGAATCCACATCCAGTGTGCCAGTTTTGGAGTTTTCTATCGCTCCGGACATGGCCTGATAGTGGTTTTTCAAATGATCGCGGTCGGCTTTGGTTTTCAGCACGCTGGCAAAAATCAGGTTGATATTATTTTCGCGCGCCACGTAGTTTATTTGCGACACCGAAGGGTAATCGTAGACTAAAGCTGAAAATAAACACCACCACTGAGAAGTTTCCGGACAAAAGGTATCTGACAAAATGCCGAAGATACCCGAACGATCAGTGGTATCGGTAATGAATTTTGGCATTTATTATTAATAAATATTATTTGGTTTTGACAATTAATCAAAAACTCTACATAGGATTAAATTCATACTAACATGGAAAGGTGGAGGGAACAATCAGACACAGGAAAATACCAGTGGCGTACACTGGATCAACCTACGAATGGAGAACCATACATAATTGTTCAAAAACTGTACATAGGATTAAATTCATACTAACAAGGGGTTGTCAGAAATAGGGTTTTTATACGTATCCAGTTTAAAACAAATAATATTGACTAACAATGTGTAATAAAAAAATTCATTACTGATGCTACGATATCTTCGGCATTTTGTCAAGAAACTTCACAGTGGTAAAATAAACAGGCTTCTGGAAAACCAACTTTGCCCTAGCATTCTTCTATTACCGTGCTCGTCCGTGTAAGTGTCGTTAATCAAATGACATCGGGCGTCGTTGGGTTCCACGACGCCGCCCAATTTGCCGTCGCCCGCTATGTGACTGACGGCGTCGGTCGACATCACCAGCAAATGTCGGGCATTTTGCCGCCATCCGATTACCTCTTTGCAAACTATCGCCTGCATGATGGCGTCCAGACCGCCTTCCGGCGTGTCCAGGTTGCCGGAAATTTGCGTTTCTCGCACTCGGCGCGAGAAAAGGGCCGCGTCCGTCATCAAGGACAGGTGGTTTTTGAAACTATAGGGCGGTGCGCACCCTTTGCACGGACTGAGCAAACTAGAAATTCAAATTAGGTTCAAACGTTTCTACTAAAGAAGTGGGCCTTACGCGTTCGGGTGCGTGTTGACATAGGGTAGAGCCCTTTTATCCACAAAACTGCCGAATCCGATTCGGAAATCGTTGGTTTTTCGCTTCATTTCGTCTGCTAGTTTGCCTCCTAGTTCGGCCAAGCGATTTTTAGATTGCAGCATCGAAAATGACAAGTCCATTAGGTAATAGAGATCTGCAATAGCTTGTAACTATGTGATTTTCTTGCCAATTGAATTTTCTTACCCACTGGATAATTTTCACTCTGCCTGTAACGGAAATCAATTTCGAATTTCTCATTCCTCCTAAGCCTGAGTACAACTTTTTGAGGGTTGATCTGCTCGGTTTCCGTTAAGGGGCGCTCGTTCACTATCGAAAACGAGTACCGAGGGTTTTCGGATTTTTTTACGTCGCACAAAATCGATTCGCTTTCCAGCAAACAGTGGGTACCATTGGGCTATAAGTACATATATAGCAATTTCATCGAGCCATGGATTCAATACTCACCGCTTTCGTGCACCAAAAGCATCCCAATTCTTGAATGCACTCGTCGCAGTGAGCTTTTGATTCGCAATCCTGTGCCGCACAAAATTTGATCGAAATCACAAACACCCACACAAAAATATTCATTTTTTGAAACATGTGACAACAAAAGACACGAAAGAAATAATAAAATATTCACTCTGCGTATAATATGTAAACGGAAATAGACATTGTTGATAAGGAGAACCGCAGTATACACTTGTGTGATTCATTGTTTGGGAATTATTATTACAAATGAGGTTTCAAGGAATCGATTTAGCGATAATTACTGTGTTTTAAGATAATATTTTTACACAGCATAAGATATTTGCAATAAAAACCAAAAGCGAAATCTACAATTATATGTATTAATGGTAACGTCGCCATAAACTAGATGTCGCTAGCCGGACGGTACCACCGGAGACTTTTAACATTAAGAACAAATGGGTACGTTCAACCTTGGCACCGCATAAAGTAAAAGTTTTTGTGACCAAGAACCAACAGAAGTGATACAGTAATTCCCAACAGCGAAAGCAATTTATTCAAAATGATAAAATGAATATTACAATTTAGGTACGTAATTAAATAGTTTTTTTTTTTTTTTGGTAGTCAAGTTAAGTTTTAGTAGTACCATAATGTCCATCACTCGTCTAGTCCTGTTGTTCGTATGTCAGCAAGCCCTAGGCGGCTACGTCCCGCCAGGCCCTTTGTACAGATGCCCCGAGGAACCACTTCTACTGCACCCTTGCACTTGCGACCAGGAAACCGACCAAGGCCTGTGGATCAGCTGCAACAACACCAACATCGCCAGCATGAGTTTGGCCCTCAACAACTTAGCCACCTTCGAAATACCCATCGAGAATTTACTAGTCAATTCCTGTCGTATGGGTAGACTGTACGGCAGTCTTTTATACAAATTGAAATTACGAGTATTGAGAATTGAACAGACTCCGTTGGAAACTATAGACGAATTTACGTTTTTGGGCGTGAATCAGACTCTAAACGAACTCCACATAATTAATTCTAGTCTAAAGGAGTTTCCTAGTGGAGCATTTAAGGTGCGATAAGTGGTTATGGGCCCAGTAATGCGATTAAAAATTATTCCAGATTTTAGGCAATCTGACGACGCTCAACATCGACGGTCATAGGATAGAGGAGCTGCCGAAAAACGCATTTTTCGAAAGCGATTTGAATGGAAAATTACTAAAGTTGCATCTGGTCAACGGACTATTGAGTGAGCTGCCAATTGAAGCCTTGCAATCCTTAAGGTAGTAATAATTATTTAGTGGTAAGGAAACTGCAGTAACAAAGGTTTGTTTCTTAGAAAGCTAAGGACCCTAGATTTGCACGGGAACGCGCTTCAAAATCTTAGAAAAAGCCAATTTAAGGGTTTAAGAGACGTGGAAGTATTAGATTTGAGCCACAACAACATTCCCAAAATCGATTCGAGCCATTTAGGCGATCTGACCAAGTTGGGCTGGTTGAACGTTTCGCACAATGAACTCCAAGAGCTTACCAGGTAAGTTTGAGATTTTTTTATGAAATTTGTGATTTTTTTGTACATTTCTATAGGGGCTCGTTCGCACGTAATACCGTATTGAAAGTCCTCAACATGTCCCATAACCGGTTGAAAAAATTAGACTCTAACTCGTTTAGGGGCATGCGATTTTTGCGCAGGCTCCACTTGTCCGACAACGCTATTTCGGATGTCGGGCGCGGAACTTTCGGTGCCTTGCAACGCATCGGAACCATCGACCTGGCACGAAACGCCATCCGGAAAATTGACTACCAAATGTTCTACCAGTTAAACTATATTGAGGTAAGTTCCAGTATAAATCGAGTTAAGCTAATTATAAAATAGGTCTTAGACGTCTCTGAGAACTCAGTGACCGAAATCGAAAAATTGGCCTTCAAAGACATATTTCTGTCCGCAATCAATCTATCTAGGAACAATATAAGCAAAATCGACAGCGGTGCTTTCGAAAATTGCGCCAACATCACCAAATTAGACTTGTCCTTCAACCAGCTACGAGATTTACCCAAAAAGGCCTTCGACGAAAACACCTACGCGACTGAATTGCAATTTTCCTACAACTTCTTCACCAGCTTGGATCAGGTAATCAGGATTTGTCTATTACTTGGCCTTTAGTTTAATATTTTGCAGATTCCCCTTCACAATATGACCGGGCTGAAAATCCTAAACGTATCGCACAATCGAATCGAGTCTATACCCAAAAAGACGTTTCCCAAATTGTACGAGCTGCACACCATCGATTTGTCTTACAACAATTTAACAGATATCTACAATTCAGTGCTACAAACTCTATTTTCCCTGCGAACTCTGGATTTGAGCCACAACTCCATGCAAACGCTCAAGCCGAGCACTTTCGGACCTCTAACGACTCTACTGGCTTTGGATTTAAGCCACAATCGCCTGGACAACATTGCTAAAAGCGCGTTCACAAGGCTGCAGAGCACCAGAGAACTAAATTTGAGCCACAACAAACTCAATTCCTTGTTTATTCTACCGATATCCGCGTCTAACCTGGATCTGTCGCACAACGAGTTCGAAACTTTACCAGCAAAACTGTGGCCCTCAATGAACTCGTTGCTTAGCTTGGATCTGAGTTTTAATCGTTTGGGCGACAGCCTGGATCAGGGGAGCTTCAAGAACTTGCTAACTTTACAACGGTGAGTTGTTGAATGAATGTTGATCAAATAATTAGTGGTTCTATTCAGGTTGAATTTGAGCTACAACGGCATGACACGGCCACCCTGGGCAGCCATAAGCGACCTCAGTACTTTGCAGTACTTGTACGTCCAGGTAAATCTTTATAAGATAAAACCAGCTAAGAAGAAGTCACCGCGTGATCTTTTGTCTCAATTCAATTCAAATGGAAAGACCCTAGAGAAAAGGAAATTTGCCTTCTTCGTCAGTGATTCTTTTTAGTTGATATTCTACCCAGTTGGAGCCTTTATTAATCAATTCCAGGGTAACAACTTGACAAAATTGGATCGCAACGCCTTCGGAAAAATGCCAGTCATGTTCGAACTGGATCTGTCCAGCAACAACATCAGAAACATCAGTGCAAGAGCTTTTGAAGGCCTACTACAACTCATCCGTTTGAAGCTGGACCGCAACAACCTCACCACCGTACCAAACGGAGCTTTCCAAGGTAAGTTATTTCATTGGGTATTTTTTGTATTGATAAATTATTCAGGAATGGTGGCTCTAACCGATCTGGATATTTCCCGCAACAAATTAACAAAGCTGGACAACAAAACCAACGGTCCGTTCGAAGAATGCCTGTCGCTAGAAAGGGTAAGAAACTGTCCCTGCTAAATCCCACTATACAATATATTTCCTTTTCGCGCACAGCTGAACCTGAGCCACAACAAAATCGCCTTTGTAACAAGAAAAATGTTTCCCAGCAACCCTTGGGTGCCCTACAAGCTGCAAAGCATCGACCTGTCCTACAACTCCATACCAGTGCTGACGTACGATTTGACTTTCGGAACGCAAAAGTTGGAATATTTAAATATCAGCCATAACGCTGTTGCAGATATTAGAAAATTCGTGATAGGTAACCTGACGCGGCTCAAATCGCTGGACTTGTCGCACAACGCCCTGCACGACCTGACCAGCGATCCGGAAATTTTCCGGCTACCGGAAAACGTGTCGAGACTTGTTTTGGCCAGCAACGAACTCCAGGATTTACCGTGGGGCCTACTAAAAAATGCCTCCAGCTTGGAATTGCTGGACTTAAAAGAAAATCGCCTGGTAAACGTATCTACTGAAATGATTGTCAAAGGAACCAAAATCGAGTACCGAGGCAATCCAATTCATTGTGACTGTTTCCTAAGACCCCTTCTCCGTTATTTGATTGGTCAATTGAATGTAGATCCTATTTACAGGGAAATCGTTTGCTCTAGCCCGCCATATTTGAAAGGACAAAGGCTGCACGAGCTGTCCGAGGAAAAGCTCAATTGTCCCTCCAATATTAATACGACAAAAATCCTGGATAATTTGGACAAGGAGAAGTTTGATGTTTTGCCCGATTTGAAATTTAGGGCGCTGTCATTGTAAGTATCGCGATTGTACGCCACATACAAAACTTATTTTGTTTTTGCAGTAAAAAGTCTGTTTTAAAGTTAAAATGGCGCGTGATGAAGCCGGATGATATCGCAGATACCTCGGTGTTCGTGAGACAAGTGCAAAATCCTGCCAACGTCGTATTTCAAGTCACTCTGCCCTACTACAAACGACAGCTCGAAATTGACATTAAAGAGAAGCTGGCAATGAAGGAGTTGCACGACTATCAAATATGTATTTTGGCCAAAACCAGCCGAAGCGGATTCAGAAAGTTTTATCCGGAACAGTGCAGAGATTTGGACGGCTCTATATCGGCGGCCAGAGCTTACTTGAGTAGTTACGCGTTGATTTTGTTTTGTTATTTGTTTGTGCAATAAAAGCGTTTGTTGTTGTTTGTTAATTTGTTCCTATGTCTGTCAAAATGTTCCCTGGACTGGAACTCTGTAACGGATACAGTTATGGCACTTACTGGCTCTCTTTTTGAAATCAATACAGAGAGGACGCCAATAGAAATAGAGAAAATATCCACTCGTTACAGAGTTCCAGTCCTAGCCTCCTTTGATAAAAATCACGTTATCATCAGACCTACATTCCAGTGAAAACTTCCAGAGTAGGTACAAATTTATCTCGAATCATTGAATAATGAAAGCATTATCCAATTAAGCGATCCGCATATATGGCAGTTTTACAACAGTGTTACCAACTACGGATCAACTATTATAGTATAGAACAGGAGGGCAGGACAACACCAGACTTCTCCAAAATATAGATAGTTACGCGAACATCAAAAACAGACACATCTTGGCGGATAACCTGAACCTGAACGCTCATAATGAAGCCTGGGGCGGCACCACCACTAACCCAAACTAGCCCTAACAGAAAATTTCATAATTTCTGGACAAAACGAGAAAAGTCAAGGACGTATCATAGTAAATTTTCAAATTTTTCCAGTGGAAAATAACACTAAATTAACAGTTTTGACAGTTCTGTCAAAAAATGCATGCTCTATCAATACTAAAACGAGAGAGCCTATTCAGCTGAAAAAAAGAAAAAAAGAGTGACTAGACATAAAGGCTTGCACGCCAACACATCAGGAAACCAATAGGATTAGGACTGGTTGTTAATAGAAAGTAGGATTAGGCAACAAATTAGGATTTAAAATAGGCTAAGGAGAACTGGAATAAGGAAACTAAATACTTTGATAATACATAATTATAGTATTTTAGGCGTACTATAATGACCTTTGACAGTACATAGTACATAGCTATTCAATTATAGTACAAATACTATAATTATAGTACGGTTGGCGACACTATTTTACAATCACCCTATATAATCTGAACGATTTTTTTAACTGGAGCCACTCTGTATACAGTACGGGTAACCGGTGGTACTACCGTGCCCACTCCGCTCTTCACCATGGGTCTTAACTTAAGTCGAGTCGAGACAGTACCATTCGAAAGTGCGCGCAACTCGGAACCGTCACAGTAGGTACCACAAAAAAAGCAAAATTCATCGAAATTCAAGTGTAAATATTATACAGAGTGTTTTATAGTCATGCGGCTGAGCCTGATAGTGTTATGTTCGATATTGATAGCTAAATGTCGCGCGAAAGGTTAGTAACAGCTACCATACCTTAAGTAATATGTCATTGTTTTAAGGAAAATTTTCCCAATGAATTACCAAATCCTATTGTTGCATTGTTTATAATATTTGAGATTATCTCACGCAGGCTCTGAAAACGAAAACGACGCTTCATTTTCGGATTTAATTAGGGAACAACGACACGATTATTAGGTACCTACGAATCGCTTACATAAAAACAAAGTGGGTGTGCTAATATATCCTTGGCATTTGATTTCTTGTGCATTTATGGGTTCCAATAGAAAGTAACATTGATAATTATCAAATAATATTTTCCAGGAGTTTAGAGAAACCACTCACGTCACGTCTCAGTCAATTTTCACTTGGGTAAAAAGCTCCATACCGTTTTGAAGGGAATTTGGATTCCCTATATTAAGCTGGCGCAAGAATAATTGCTGCGGCTTTAGTGGTTTTCGAGATATCAAAGAAAAATCAATAATAACATATGGTGGAAAAGAAGAAGAAATGCGCTTTATTTTTCGGCTCAAAAGAAGCCGAAACTGCAGAACCCGACGAATCGCCGTTGCGTTATTTATTTAGCTCGAAACTCGAAAAACCTGATATAGTCGCTTCATTATCCCCCTTTATCCTAATAAAGAAGAGTTATCGCATTAAATTGGCTTGTGATCAATTTGGAACTAATTACGTTAAAATCAGATTGAAATTGACTGAGTTGTGAGCAGGGTTGCCAACTTTTGAAATTGGAGATTTTTTCGCGACTGAAATAAAAATGGCGTTTCTCAATTGAAATAGTAGAACAAACATTAAAAAAAACCAAAAACTAAAAATAAAACATATTAAAATCTATACCTACCTACAATTTTGAAAAAAAAATCCCGCTACTCGTCATTATTCCCGGGGGGAATAACATATGTCATTATACTGTCAAAATCACAAGTATAATTCTTAAATTATACATTAGTCGTAAAAACTACATAGTAAACACTTCTTATTAAAATCTATACCTACCTACAATTTTCAGCAGTTCTAACGGCCACACACTAACACTAAATTTTCTTGTTTTTTACCATATGACGCAAATCACCCGTCATTTCAACATTAAACTGAAAACTGTGAAAACAGACCTCATGAGCTGTGTTTCTAAAGGCCGGGACACATCTAGGTCTCATACATTCTTCCGATCCGACTCCTATCATACAAGCAAGTTCCTTAAGGCCGGGATACATCTATCATGCATTCTTCCCATCCGACTCCGATCATACAATCAGGGTCCTTATTCTTGGAATAGGGGAACAGCGTTCCCAGGAGAACGCCTGGGGAATACGGCTCCCTGTTCCAAGAATACAAACCCTGATGTATGATCGGAATCGGATCGGAAGAATGCATGGTAGATGTGTCCCGGCCTTTATTCTTGGAACGGGGGAGCAGCGGAGCACTCGTTCTCCTGGCAAGGGCGGTTTAAAGGGGAGGGTAGAAGGGGGTAATTACCCCCCCCAGACAAAGATTTTTTTTATACATTTATTACAACAAAATTTCAACAAAAGACAAAAGACAAGTTTTACAAAGTAAAGGATTACAGCTATCGTATGAATATGATAGGCTCACCAGTACCTACGTACCTACCAAGGTTCTTAAAGTTCATAGGTTGTCTGGTAATGGGTAACTTGATGACGCATCTGGGATGCCTTATGCAAATTTGCATTATGTTGAGGCACCCCAGATGACGTTATGAAGTTATCAGGCAACCTACCTCTCTCAAACAACCTTGCGTACCTTCTACTATACAGTGCTATGGTTGTTTGAAACGTCTGGTTTTGTGCACAGTATTGCGAACACCCTCTAGAATGTTAACAACAGATTTTCATAGGACCATGAATTAAATGTAAGTAACGTACGTCGTTTTTAAAATGACACTTTTCGTCAGTGACGGCTCGTCAGAGGAGGCAGGGGAGGCTAAACCTCCCCCAAAAAATTGAAAATTCAATCTCAATTTTTTATTCCTGATTTATAATTAAAATAATAATTAACAAATTACACTTTCCAATTTTCGATATTTCAATGTAATTTAGAAAAATCTGACAACATTATTTCAATCAATCCCGCGCCTTCACGACAAATATCTGTGAATCTGGGATACTCAGTAATACCGGCCCGAAGGGCCGGAGTTATATGCGAGCCCGAAGGGCCGGAGTTATACGCGAATCCGGCCCGAAGGGCCGGAGTTATATGCGAACCCGGCCCGAAGGGCCGGAGTTATATACGAGCCCGAAGGGCCGGAGTTATACGCGAGTCCGAAGGGCTAGAGTTATTTTAATCATGGGACTCAGTCTATAATTCTATTGGTCAGTGAATAATTTAGAACCAATCAAAAACCGAGAATATTTAAAATGCGATTTTTAGCGTTCGATCAAAGAGTCGGAAATATTCAAAAACTTTAGTTTTATCAAATTGGCTTTGGAATGTTGGTTTTCTTAAAATTTTTACTTTTTTCAGAAAACGGTGGTTTTTGCAAACATATACTACTTTATCATTGTCTTTGTCTTACTCACTATAATCAATAAGGAAACCTTGTAATGTCATTTTCATTGAAATTAAACTAAAAACAAGTTTTCTATGATTTATTTGGAGTATTTTAATTATTAAAATCATTATTAATTAATTATTAAATTAAATTTTAAACAAAAAACCCTTTCAAAATGTTATTTTTGTTTTCCAAAATGAGATGTGGCAACGTTGTTTTTAGTTGGCCATTTTGAAGTGACGCCTTGTAATTTTTTGCCAGTTTTTCCTCGAATTTTCCGCTTTTCCGGGGCTTTTCAATGGAAAAAGGCGATTTAACATACGAGGCTTTGAGTTTTCTTCATTTACTAGCAAAAATGTCCAGTTTTAAAATGACATAAATAACAAAATCCCATTTAAAATGGTTTTTTTTTTAAAGTTTTGATGTGGCAACACCGTTTGTACCAACTTCAAATAGGTTTTTTAATAAATGTCATTTGCCAGTTTTGACAGTCGACAATTTTTAATTCACGTGTTCACATTTCTATCCAGTTTTTCCTCCAATTTTCCGCTTTTCCAAGCCGTTTTCAGTCAAGAAAACCGATTTGAAATACGAGGCTTTGAATTTCCTACATTTTGTGCTAAAAATTCCCAGTTTTCCAATGGGGTAAGTGACAAAAACTCAAATTTCATTAAGTATGCTTTGGAATGTCATTTTTAGAGGTTTTTCTTTGAATTTGTCCGCTTTTCCAGGGCTTTTCTGGTCGGAAAAACTGATTTAAAGTACGAGACTTTGAGTTTTCTTCATTTTCCACCAAAAATTTCCAGTGTTTTAACGGGGTAAGTGAGAAAAACTTTAGTTTTATCAAGTAGGTTTTGGAATGTCATTTTCGTTGGCTTTTTTTTTTGGAATTTATATTTAAGGTTTTTGAGGTCCGGGGATCGTTTTCTATAACTTTTTTTCTCGAAATTCGCAAAATAAAAAAAAAACTTTTTTGACGTTGACAGCTGTCAATTTTTTTTGACACAAATCGATAGTTAGCATCGCAAAATTGCCTTGTACCGGGGTTTGATTTTCGTAGCTTTTATAGTAGAGCGGAGAAAAAGTCGAACATGTGTCAAATTTGACAGATGACATTTGTCGATATTGCCAAAGTGTCGTGCGACAAAAGTTTTATCCGAACGAACCCGTTCATTGTTAACTGATTTTTCATACTCCGGCCCTTCGGGCCGTAATCTTTGAGACAAAGAGACGTCATTTTGTATCGATTGTCAAAAAACTCAAGGTTTGAAATTTCAATTTTTTGACGTTTGTTGTATCATGAGCAGTGTTGCCATATGTTTTTCTTTCGAATCTCGAGCTCGAAGGGCCGAAATTATAGATTATTTTAAAGCCAATCAAGAGCCAGGAAAATTCAAAAATTCGAATTCCAAACCCGAAGGGAAATTGAATTTTTTTTACCAACTGTTGCTACATGTTGTAACATAAATCTCACCTTAAAACCCACTAAAAAATGACCTTTGTTTTTTGGAAAAAACAAAAGATTTTTTTTTTTGAGATTGACAGCTGTCAAAATTTCAATGGGTATATAGATTTAGCCTCGGCAAATACGTAGGAAGTACTAATTTTTTTTTTAACATATGTCAAAAAAGACGTTCGGCGGATATGGAATTTTGAAATTGAAATCTAAATGGAATTCCGAAGAATTTCATGAAATTCTATACTGTAATTAGCCTCCTCAATTTAAATAGTCACGAGCCGCCACTGCTTTTCGTATGAGGAGCGCGGAGGTATTTTTTAAAAACGGTTGAGTTTTGGTATAGATGATTCCTAACAAAAAGTATGTAGGATTTTTAAAACGATAGAATGTACCTACTAAAATATAGGGTGTTCCATTTAAAAATAATAAAGTTCTGTCGCATACCACATTTACAGAGAACCCTGTATATTTAAAAATATTTTTAAGTAATGCACCTTAGAGAATCAAACAACTTTGCATTTTTATTTATTTTTTCTTGCATCACCCTGTAAGAAGATATCGTCCGGTATCGCACTAAGTGGACACCCTGTTTAACTATTTTGACGGCATCGGGATATATTTTTGCCAGAAGCGTGTTTTTTAAACCACTTTCGGGTTGGGATGGCAAAATAAAAAAATATATCAATATATCGAAACAACATATCGATACATTCGATATATCGAACGAAAAACATCGATATTTTAAATATATCGATAGATATTTTATTTTTATTTTTTTTTCTACGATCGTGTGAAAAGTGCTTTTTTTCTTCAGGCATTTTAGGTCATGAAACTATCACTTTTCCGCACTAGTTTGGAAAATGGAAAAGTAGAATAATTATGCAATGTTAGGTCACCCTGATACTTTCATGCCCTAAAATGCGTGCAGAAAACTACTATTCCACACGATTGTAGAAAAATAACGTTGCCAATCATGCGGAAAGTCTCTTTTCCTTATTCAGTTGGTACGTACAGAGTATTTGATTATATTTGGCACCATACCTGCAGCCTTTACTATTTAAGATAGAAAAAAATTTTAAATATAAAACTTGACAGTTTTTTTCTATATTTTCTTTTGACAGTATTAGAAAAAACAAAATCGCATCGGAAAATGGAGAAACGTAGGCAACTTCTACTTTTTTCAATGGAACACCCTGTATATTATGCGATAAAATTAAACATCTTTTCTTCCTGATTCCAAATATATATGTACTGATCATATTTGAGTGAATCGTTTTTGATATATCTTGGCTTAAATTTTAAATAAAATCCAAAGGAATATTATGAAGATTTAAATGTCTTGACATTCCCATGAAATTTCTTTGCAAATTAAAGCTAAAATATTTCAAAAACGGCTCACTCAAATGTGCTAAATATATATATATATTTGAAATCAGGAAGAAAAGATCTTTAATCTTATTGCATAATATACAGGGTGTTCCATTGAAAAAAGTAGAAGTTGCCTATGTTTCGCCATTTTCCGATGCGATTTTGTTTTTTCTGATACTGTCAAAAAAAAATATAGAAAAAAACTGTCAAGTTTTGTATTTAAATTTTTATTCTATCTTAAATAGTAAAGGCTGTAGGTATGGTGACAAATATAATCAAATACCCTGTCATTTTTTATATTTTCCCACCTTCTTAACTTTTTTGTGTCACTGTGTATAAAAAAAAATTAAATAGGAAAGTTGTAGTGCTTGAAAAATAGTTCTCAGACAATATAGTTTATACAGGGTGTTGCAAAAAGTTTAAAAAACAAAAAAATATATTTTTTTAAATGGGACACCCTGTATATTATGACATTTCTGGATTCTGCGGAAAATTCTAGACATATTTCATGTATAATGTCATATACCTAACTTCAACTGTTTCGGAAATAATGACAGTAGAAAATTGACTTTTTTGCATCTTTGACAGACTGTAAAACCTAAACGGTTGATTTTACGGCAAAACCGATCATACATGCTTTTCCTATTTTTTTTATAAAATATCATTTGACACCAACTTTTTTAATCCATGATTGAAAATTCCAATTAAATTTAATCTCCGGTTAAATTCAAAGTTGGTGTCAAATGCTGGCTTATGAAAAGCTGTCGAGAAGAATGTAAAATCGGTTTTGCTATAAAATTAACAGGTAAGGTTTTACAGTCTATCAAAGTAGCAAAAGGGTCAATTTTCTACTGTCATTATTTCCGAAACAGTTCAAGATAGGTATATGACATTATACATGAAATAGTCTAGAATTTTCTGCAGAATCCAGAAATGTCATAATATACAGGATACAGGGTGTCCCATTTGAAAAAATATATTTTTTTGTTTTTTAAACTTTTTGCAACACCTTGTATGAACAAAACTATGTTTTCTGAGAACTATTTTTCAAGCAATTCAACTTTCCTATTTAAATTTTTTTCATACACAGTGGCATGATATATCGAAAAGATTGTATCGATATTTTTTTCGATATATCGAATGTAAGATATCGATTAAAATATATCGATATATTTCAGTAATATATCGATACAATTTACAAAATATCGATATATTTTTGCCATCCCTACTTTCGGGAGCAAATTTGGGCGTGGCACCCCAAAAAAAAATGTCGCTTCCGGCGGTACGTATGTTGTGACACTTGATGATTTTCCATCCATTACCCCCCCCAGAAAATCATGTATGGACCGCCACTGTCTCCTGGGAACGCTGCTCCCTGTTCCAAGAATAAGGACCCTGTTTGTATGATCGGAGTCGGATCGGAAGAATACATGATAGATGTGTCCCGGGCTTTAGTCTGTTCTCATTCTCACAGAAATCAGAAACCAGTCAGAGCGTTTTTGATTGTTGCAAATTGCCAACAACCAGTTTTCTGACGATTTTCAACCAATGAAATTCGGTCTGACTGGGTTTGTGATTTCGGTGAGAACAAACATTCTATCACGTTGTCTCTCTGTATTTGGTTATTATTCGCGAAAGAATTTGTAGTTTAAAATGTGTTGTTACGACGTTATCATGCCCGCATGAATTTTTCAGGAAACTTCATGTTTATATCTTGATTTTCATATAACTCCTACAAGTTTTACCTGGAGAAATATACATGTAATCAGGGGACCGGAGAATTACCTCGAAAATTCGGAGACTCAGGGTCAAAACCGGAGTGTTGGCAACCCTGGTTGTAAGGCAAAACCATAATGCACAAGTAAGATTTATAGAAATTACAACATGCATATGCAGTACTTACCCATCGTAAGTGATGAACTTTTTCTGAAACAAACAATACATTATTAGTAAAGCAAAAATCTTGAAGGTCTGTTCTCACAAGAGTCAGTTTCCAAACTCTCAGAAACAGTCGCTCAGTTAAGTTACCGACTTATCATGGAATGACGGTATTAAAAACATGAATGGGCGAGTTTTTAAACTGTCAGAGATTCTCGTGAGAACAGACCTAAAGACGTTTTTCGGATGACAAGGCGAAATAGAGTAAAGAAGAATTTTCCGCATAGTTAAAACAGCAAAAAATTCAAAAATAGGCCACAATAGTGACACATAACCATTTTCCATGAAGAAAAAAACCTCGTAATATTGGGCTTCAGTAACAAAATCTTAAGAATCCGCCATCTAACTATGAAGTTATTAATATTGAAATTATAAATTGAACAAACATGAAACACCGTTAATAATCACCTTCACGAGCAAAATACGTGTAAAAATTAAAACGTTTCCTATGGGAAAATGTGCAATTTCGCTTTTAATATCTAATTATTATTAATTTATTTATTCGCAGAGACAATAAGGAAGCGTATATTATTTATTGAAGGGATTGATGTCCTCCTCACTCTTGCAGCCAACGACCCGTCAAAAAAAAAAAAGCTAATTAACGTTTCGAGTTTCAAAACAATGAGGGGCTCCGTATACCTACATAAATTAATTAAATTAGAATTAAAAGAGCGAGGCGATATGGCTCATGTATCAATATTCACTCGGACGTAACACGAGAAATAATTAAAATTAAGAAAATATAACGTTTTAAATTTCGGGGCATCCGATTGATTGGAGGAATATATAGGAAAGTTACCGTTATTTTCATATATGCTAATCAGGTTGGTTGATACCGGCGGCGCATATTAATTTATTCTATTATACCAGTGATTCATAGTAAGAAGTGTCTGTGAGTTTTCAATATGTTACGAGTCGTTAATCGGTACCCAAAATAGTTCATCAACACCATTCTAAAAAAAGATGCGTCATACAAACAGGTACCACCGTCGAGTGCCCAAATACGGCTTCGAGTGGTACCTCAATGACACCGTGTGGGTTCTTGGGCGGAATTTTCGCCCACACTATAACCGATTTCGAAACATAATATTCTTTTATAGCCAGTCCAGAAGTCCGGTGCACGAAAAACCGGATGCGCATCGAAATTCCTTTGGAACCAGACACGAAACGCATTTACGTGCAAGGCTTGCGCGACTATCCGGATCCGGCATGTAGACCCCACACCGACTCCACTGGCCGGATGGCCGTACTAGAACTGGATTTGGACGATGTGTACCGGTGCGCCGTCACTAGGGTGGTCAACAAGCAAACTGTAAAGTACCTTCTCCACTTTGATTGAATCCGACTTTATAATTTTCTCGTATTAGGGCAAGAAAATCTACTATCAAACTCTTGTAGTGGAGAGTGCAACGAGGGAAACTTTACACGTCAAGTGCTCAATTGCAAAAGAGCATCTAATTAGTAGACGTCAAGTGTTTCCTGCCGGTTTCGAGGAACCAATGTAAGCAAATTTCCCCATTCTTAAAGGCTGATAATTCAATATTATATTCTATAGAGATCTGGAAACGACTACAAGTCTGATTGGTATGGCACCTCAACCCAACATTACAGTGGGAGTACGACAATCTGGCAAACTGGTCACCGGCGAGTTAAACGTGTCTCCTGGCACGCCGCTGCAAATGGAAATCAGCTTGGATCCCGCTTCCACTCCGATTTACGGACTACTGGTCACCCATATGCAAGTTTCTGATACCAAGTCGCAAGAAGAGACTATCATTTATAACGGGTTAGTGTCCAATTATTATAGACTTCAGAACTTATAACCCACAAAATGATTTTTTTTTTAGTTGTTCGGCTGATCCGTACCTGTTCGAAAACTTCAATACGATCGACGGAGATAATTTGGTGGCGAAATTTAGGGCTTTCAAATTTCCAGAGTCAACGTACGTGCAATTCAAGGGCACCGTAAACGTGTGCCTGGATAGATGTAAAGGGGTGAGTCAATCTTTTCTAATAAAAATAATCGAGTCGGAACTCGAGGAGTGCAGTTACGTACTTTGAATGTTCGTAAAAAATTCTCCATAGTTGATAAAAGTTCAAATTTTGATTATTATCGGCTCTTGATTAGTTCCAGGAAAGTTTTTCGAAGAATCAAGAGCCGGTAATAGTTCAAATTTTGATTATCTGCGGCTCTTGAGCCAATCAGAAGTTGCGAAAGAAGGAATTTTGATTATTATCAACTCAAAGAGCTGCTAAATGATCATTTGTCATTGTAAGGAGTACAAAATGATAAATGAATCACGGTTTCATTTTCCATAGGTCGAGTGCAGCGACGGATCAGTTGGATACGGACGCAGAAAACGAGCCATTTCCAGCGTACCGGCGGATCCGAACAAGATTTTCGAAATCACCATTACGTCCTTCATCAAGGTAAACTACGACGACGATGCCGAAAACTTTGAGGAAATCATCAAAAACCAAACGAAAATGTACAACAACAAAAAACTAATTGTCGGCAATCAAATGACCGACGACGTCAGGTAAGAATCATCGTAGATAAAATGTTTTATACATTACTATTCCCTTTTAGGATATACAGGGATGACAATGGAGAACATCGTCTCATTAAAGAGCTAAAAGAAGAACAAAAATACACTTCGATAGTTGCGGAAAATGCCTCGTCACCCCTACAGCTGTACAGTCCAGTTTGCCTCGTTGCTGCGTTGATATTAATGAAAAATCACTTTTTATAAATACATGGTCAATCATAACCAGAAATTGCTTATATGCCACTAAAATTTTTGTACATTTTTAATTTATTTGTGTGTGTAAATACGTCTGTGATAATTTAAACTGTATTTGCTGGGGCGTTCCTGGCAACGAATAATTGGAACCCCTTGTATATAATAATTTTCCCTTTTTGTAATCACGTTATAAATTAAAATTGCTTCTTTAATAAGTCCTAATCAATACTGCCAGTGTATTTTAATAAATAATGTAATAATAAACTATTTTAGATTTAGGTGTCTTTTACGTTACAACAAAATCATAAAACTTTTCCTCGTTTCACGCAACGGCCCGTAAACGTGACACGACACCCCCTCAAACTGTCACCTGTACGACCCCAGAAAAAAAATAGAGCAATTCTCAATAAGTCGACGCGTATTAGAGCCACCCTCAACCCCCTTATAAAACGACGCTACCCGAGGCTGAGCGAATCTGTTCGACCCGATTGAACAGAGAGGCCAGTGAGTGCTGTACCTTCGGCGTCGGAACGGCTCCATTTCCAGAGAGGCTCTGCACGAGAATCGGCTCTAATTTTCTATAAATAGAGCCACGCGGAATGTGATTTTTGTTTGTTTCAATGAGGTAAGTTTTAATTCTAAGATTCTTGTTTAGAATTATAAAGAAATGTGTGTCATACTTTTCAAAGTTATGAAAATATATGAGTATGAAAATTTTGTAATTAATAGCATCCAAATTCATTATTATTATTTCAAATTCCCAAGGTACTCTATTTAGTGAGCCAATAGCTATGAGAATTTATACGTCTCATTTTAATTATAAGACCCATTCTCTGTCCTAATATAAATGAATAGTTCGGTGACAGTGAGAGGAAAAAATATATGAAAAATGATGTCCAAAGTTCCATTATAAGAACTTTATCGCTTAAATTATTATAAATCGCTTTAGTTTTTACCGGAAAAGTTTCGCGGAGGAATTTTATACGAAGAAATTCTCTAAGTTTAATATTAGTACAAGACAGAATAGAAAAACTTGGAAAGACGTTTGGAAGATCCCTACTTCTACATGTTCCATGATTGATTGTTTAACATTATGTCCAATATTGGTACGCGTTTTGGGGTACTTATGGCCCTTAGAAGTTGATCATGTTATGGAATTTGCTCCATATTGAGTTTTTAATGTTTTTCGATCGGGTTACATATTTATCTCTTTTAACTTAACCCAAATTAACCCTTTTTTTTTTTTTTTTTTCGGGGAGAAAATCTTCAAAAGACACCCGGCCGGTGGTGGTGGCGGGAACTTTGCGTTTATTGGCCTGTTCTTCTACGGCCCGGGTAGTGTTGGATTCAAGGAGGAACTTCTTCCTTGCCTACCAACTAAAAAACTCCCCTCTTTTTTTGCCTTCTTTCCTGGAACCGCCCGTAGGCATTACGTCAGGGGTTCGCCGCCTGGCCAGCGGTCTTTGCTTTGGATTTTCGTGTGTTATTGTCTTTGCTCTCTTTCTCTTTCTTCTTCCGTCTTTATCTGCATGATGTCTCGGCACATTTCTTTTATAGCGTTCCACTTCTTCTCGCTCTGCAGCAGCAGTTCTGCTACATTTTCTTTAGTGATTCTCTGTTCGCATTTTTGATTGGCTGTTTCTCTGTTCTCTTCAAAATGGTCACAGTAGAAAAGAGTATGTTCTGGCGTGTCACGTTCTTGGCAGAACCAGCATGTGTCATGTTCCTGCTTTTTTATTGTTTTAAGGTAAGTTCCGAAGGTGCCATGCCCAGTCAGTGCCTGCATAAAGAAGTAGTCGATTTTGCCCCATTTCCTCTCGCTCCATCTTTTGACATCCTTCACAAATGTCTTGGCCCATCCCTCGTACGGTGACCATTTGTTCTGCCATGCATCATATAATTTAATTTTTGCTTCGTTTTTATAGGCTCTTCCGTGTGTGTGAAGGTCGGTTCTCTCTTGGGCCAGAAGGTCTATCGGGGGTTGTCCTGCAATTGCGAGTACCGCTGTCGTAGATACGGTTCTATACGCGGAGGTTATGCCTATTGCCAGCCTTCTGTTAACGCTCTTAAGCTTGTTTTTGTATTTTTAATATTTTAAGGCTGTACACCAGATGGGTGCTGCGTAAAGTACGGCGGATATTACAACATTTCTTAACAGTTTCCTCTTGTTTGCTCCCGGGCCTCCTACTTTGGGCATCACTCTCATCAGTAAATTTGTCATGTAGTTTCCTTTGTCAGTTATTTCGTTAATGTGTGCTGTCATTCTAAGGTCTTTGTCGAGATAGACTCCGAGGTATTTGGCTGTGTGTTGGCTTTTTATCACTGTCCCCTTGATTTGGAATTCCGCGGTTGTTATAGTGCGTCTGCCAGCATGGATTAGCATTTGGGTCTTCTTTGTGGCTACTTCTAGGTGCATCTCTTCGAGGGTATTTATGACGCTTTCAGTGGCGTATTTAGCTTTATCTAAAAGCTGCGCTTTAGTTTTGGCTCTGACCAGGATTGCCAAGTCATCCGCGTAGGCAATCAGCGAAACTCCCTGCTCCATTTTCAGTCTCAGTACCCTATCGTAGAGTGCGTTCCAGAGTTTAGGCCCCAGAATAGATCCCTGAGGTACCCCGCAGTTCATGTTGAAGATATTTCCGTTTATGGTTATTTTCCGGTCTTTCAAGTATACGATTTGATTATGTTTATTAAGTAGTTGCTTACTCTAGCTTCCTCCAAGGAGTTTATTATTAGTTCCCAGGGGGCCGAGTTGAAGGCGTTCTGGATATCGAGCATGATCATCAAGCAGAAGTCTCTGTGTTGGAATGTTTTCTCTTTAATGTCTTCAGCTATTCTCTGAACCTTCTTTAGGGCGTCCAGAGTCGATCTTCCCTTTATGAATCCATGCTAACCCAAACTAACCCAACTTAACCCAATTTAACTCAACTTAGCCTAACCCAACTTAACCCTTTTTTTTTTTTATAGTAGGGATTGGAAATGCATTATGCACACCCAGGGCATTGGTGTTCGGGCGCCCTGGGTAGTGTGGGACTCTCACCCACTAAAACCCTTCCCCTACTCTTCCCGGGACCGCCGCTAGGCATTACTTCGGGGGGCCTTGCCACTATGTTCCTTCTCTTTCTCTTCGCTTCTCCTCCGCCTCCTTCCTCTTCATTATTTCTCTCATCATCTCCATGACCGCCTCCAAGCTTTCTCTCCCCTTCATGAGCACCTCTCCGACGTTCTCAATATTTATTTCCTGTCCGCACTTTTCAGCGGCAGCCTCCCTCACATCTCTAGACTCTGTGCACACAAATATTGTGTGTGCGGGTGTGTTAACCTCTCCACAGAACCAGCAATCCTCTGTTTCCGGCCTTCCTATCTTGTCCCGAATATTCCATGGCCTGTTATCGCTTGCGTGGTATGATAATCACTCTCTCCTCCCTCTCTATCAATCCAGCTTTGTATATCCCTGATAAAATTCCTTGCGAATCCCTCATATGTTTCCCATCTTTCCTGCCAGTTGTTGATCAGCTGTACTCTCGCTTCGCTTCTGCTTTGCTTCCCCTCTCTGTATATCGTACATCTTTCCTTTATGGCTAGGTCTATCGGTGGTAGTCTGGCCAGCACTTGCGTCGCAGCCAGCGAGGCAGTTCTGTAGGCGGAGGTGATCCCTATCGCCAATCTTCTATTCACCCTTTCTAGGGTCTTGAGGTGGTTTTTGTATCTTATAGCGGACTCCCATATCGGTGCCGCATATAGTATTGCAGAGGTCACTGCGCTAGCCACAATCCTTCTTTTGTTGCTCTTTGGTCCTCCAATCTTTGGCATTATCCTGCTTAGTAGATTTAGCATCTTATTGGCTTTTTCTGCTATTCTGGTGACGTGTGTAGTCATCCTCAAATCTTTGTCAAAGTGTACTCCTAAGTACTTCACTGCCTTCTGACTCTGTATTATTGTGTTATTGAGGCTGATTTCGACTTCTAGCACCTTCCTCCTACCTGCCAAGATGAGCATCTCCGTTTTCCTAGTTGCGACCGATATTTTCATTTCCTTGAGCCTTTCAGTCACCGTCGTGGCTGCGTATTGTGCTTTATCCTCCAATTCTGCCCTTGTCTTCGCTCTCACCACGATAGCGAGATCGTCTGCATATGCAATCAGCTTTACGCCTTTCTCCGTTTCAATGCCTAAGATCTGATCATAGAATATATTCCACAAGAGGGGTCCTAGGATGGATCCTTGGGGCACCCCACATGTCATTTCGTAAGTTTTGTTGTTTGGCGCCATTATACTTCTCTCTGACAGGTATGAGTTGATTATCGCTCTGAGGTAATCACTGACCCCTCCGTCCGCTATTGCCTTGCTAATGCCATCCCAAGGAGCCGAGTTAAATGCGTTTTGAATTTCCAGTAATATCATCACACTGAAGTCGCGGTTTTTCACTGCCCTGCTGTTGATGTCTTCCCATATATTTCTCACGCATTTGTGGGCGTCGATGGTCGATCTCCCTTTTCTGAAGCCATACTGGTTCTCACTTATCATGTTCTTCTCTTGTGTTTCCTTCAGCAGCCTGTTTCGGATCACTATTTCGAACAACTTTCCCGCTGTCTCTATCAGACACAGAGGTCTGTATGTCTTTGGGTCATTTATTTCCTTTCTCGACTTCTCTACAAGAACCAGTCTAGCCGCTTTCCACCTTGTCAAGAACACTCCACTATTTAGACATCCATTGTACACCTGCAGAAAGACCTGCGGGTTCCCTTTTGCGCATATGTTAAGGACTTCTGGCGTGATGTTGTCTGGTCCCGGGGCTTTTTTCATTTTCATTTGGTCGATGGCAATCATCAGTTCGTCCTCTTTGAGTTCGTCCCTCTCGTTTATGGGTGCCTCCACTCGGGTTACTGGTGTTTTGGGGCACTTTGGGAACAGTTTTTGGACTTGCCGGTCTATGGTCTCTTCATCAATTTGACTTCGTCTTTTAAGTTTAAATCTGTTTGTAACAATCTGGTAGGCCTTTCCCCAGATGTTTTCCTCTAATTCATCACACAATTCCCTCCATTTCTGTTTCTTGCTGTTGCCAATTTCCCTTTTCAGTTGCGTTCTGGCCTCCCTGTATTTTTCTGTGCGGTCCACCAGCCACCAACCCAACTTAACCCAACTTAACCCAACCTTTTTTTTTTTTTTTTTTTTTCTAGAGGTGTTAAATACATTTACGTACACCTGGGAGAGCCCAGGTAGTGTGGGGCTCAGAGTTTCCGGTGTTCTGAAACTCCACTACCCACTAAACATCACCCCTGTTGGTCTCCAGCATCCTGTCCTGGTACTATCTCGTTTGGAATATCTCTTCCGGACAGGAGCCTCCGTGTTTTCCTTCACCAGTTTCTCCCTTCTTCGTTTTCGCGCCTTCTTTCGTCTTTTTCCTTTGTTTCCACCATGAATCCCATCATCCTTTCTACGGCTTTCCAGCAGTCCCTGTTGCCCAACATTACGTTTATAAGGTTCTCTTTGCTCAGCCTGCAGCCAACTTTCAGTTCCGTCTCCGTCCTTGCTCTCCCGAATCTGTCGCATTCCAGCAGCATGTGTTCTGGGGAGTCTTCTTCAGCGTCGCAGTAAATGCATTTTGGTGTGTTTCTTTTTTTAAAT